GATCTCGACCTGGCAGAGAAGTTCATTCGATTCGCTTTGGACGCGTGGCGACTTCCTATTCGTGGGAAAATATAACCGTCGCGGAAGATTTATCGTCGGAACATTCAAATATTCCGACGCTTCGGATCTTAGGGAGGATCCTAGCCGCTCGTTGATTACACGTGTACGGTGGGGAAATTCTTCCGACGGGCTATAAATGCCCCCAATCCTTCAGGTCATACCTTACGTTCCCTGAATTCTTGGAGTTCGATCTGAAGGCAGCTCGAACCCTTGGTAGGTCGGTCTCTTCCCTCACTTTCTCTTTCGAACGTAGTTGCCATGTCGTCCTCTTTTAGCAACAACTTAGGATCCGATGAGGACTTAGCTCGTAGGTTAGGGTCCGAGCTCGAGGAGATAGAAAACTTTAGATTCTCCGATGACGGGGAGGATAGTGACGCCTCCATTTCAGGTCAGGGCTTGGAATACCCTTCTAGGATTCCTGATCACTACCTCGGATCCCTTCGTAGGGGGTTCGCTATTCCTGAGAACATCCTCCTCAGGCTTCCGGAGGAGGGGGAGAGAGCTGACAATCCTCTAGAGGGATGGGTCACTCTCTACTTCAAAATGTTTGAGTACGGCCTCAGACTTCCCCTTCACCCCTTTGTCCAAGAATTTCTCTTCCGGACTGGGTTGGCTCCGGCTCAAGTGGCCCCCAATGGGTGGGGTGTCATTTTCGCTTTGGCCATCCTTTTTTGGCTACGAGCCGGGATAGTGAGGAGGCCGAGCTGTTGGACGTGGACCAGCTCCTCGCGTGCTTCGAAGCGAAAAGGATAGCTAAGAAGCCTGGTCGGTTCTATATGTGCGCAAGGAAAGGCGCATGCGGTATAGTTAAGGGGCTGACCTCCATCAAGGGATGGGTGAGGAAGTGGTTCTACGCTTCTGGGGAATGGCTTGCAAAGGACGAGTCAGATCGCTCCTTCTTTGACGTCCCCACTAGGTTTGGGAACCTAGGTACGGAGTAGTTCTTGCGTTTTTTGTAATTTTCTTTTCTGTCATTCAGGTCTAACTCGGATTTTGTCTTCRTGCAGTTTCAATCCGACCAGTCCCCGAGCTTACGCAAGCCTCCTTCGACACGCTGAAATACTACAAGGAGSGCTTTCCGAGGGGTAGGAAGGTCGGAACCCTRGTGACCGACGAGCTGCTGCTTGAGTCCGGGCTGCTAGATTACAACCCTGCARTTCGTCCCATTGAATCCTCAAGGCCGAACTCTGAACTTGGTATGCCGAGCTTGCCTCACCCMTTTTCCCTCTAACCTTGTGATGACCCCTGTTTTTATTTTGCAGCCATGGTTTG